GCTGGAATGAGCGGGGCGGTCGGTGCAGCCCTTGTGACTTGGGCTTGAAATACAGGCAGCCCCCTCCAGCCGGCCGCAGCAGACATCTTGATGCTGTGCTGATGCTGGTGAAAGCGGACCTGAACCCAGTGTCGTGGGAGATGTGCAGCATTTAAAGCAGGGGACGCTGCAGGGTGAGCAAAATAAACCCCCAAAGATAAGCAGGTTTAATTTGGACAAAGCAGAAATCTTCTGAAAAGGCAGCACGATGGCAAAGTCTGATCTCTGTTCCAAATGGCTTTTGTCTGCAGCTTCGTAGCTTCTGGTCATGTGCTGCAGCAATCCTCTAAACCTTCTCAGTCTGAAAACGAGACAAACAAAGGCCCTCTCTGCACTAGCAGGAAACGGATTTATTTCTCTCCCTGTGTCTTTATGGATCCTCAAGTACAATAGGGACCTCTATTTGGGTTTGTTCCCTGAGACATGAGGGTAATATCAAATCTCTTTTACACCCGTGTGCCCGCACGGCCGTGCCACCCCACGGGACCGTCGGTGGGAGCTGGAGGGAGGCGAGGGCTGAGCCCGCTCCCCTCCACGCGCTGCCGCTGGTGCAGGAGCCCACAGAGGGGCAGGTACGGCACTGCCTTCTCCCCACCCACACGGGGCTGGAGCCCTTGGCTGTGGTGGCAGCTGGCTGTCTTGGCCTCATGAACCTTGGATGCTCCACATCATGTCTTCCAGACTGTTTCAGAAAATGTTTATTTTGATGGTGGCACCAATTATCTCCATCATCTGATTTTACACATCTTTGTACCCGTCTGCATACTCAAATCCCACCTCAACTTTTGCTTTTGCAATGGCATCTCTATCCAGTGACCCTTTTTCTTTCTCCTCTCTGCTTTGGGAGTCACAGGCCCCGCTGGGACAGGCACATGCCGATGGCGAGAGGTCAGTAGTGTGACAAATGCTCGAGTGCATTTGCACACGTGCAGCCACGTGTGTTTTCTCAGAGCTGTGCAACCTATCGACCCACTACATCGTGGTCCGCTCCCATGAGAGGGGCAGATGCAAAAGGGCTTTTGAGGGTGAAAGAAACCTTCCTGGGTAATCAGAAAACACCCTGTGCATAGGAAGTGTGTATTTTGGGTGAGGAGGTCCCACTGCTGCTCCACCAGTGACCAGCAGTGACTCTACCTGCATGGTCAACCATCAAACCCTTATTTGGGCACCCACCCACGCAGGGATGCGGTGACCACTGGTGCTGCGCACCTGCAGAAGGGAAGGGAGAGGACCAGGGAGCAAATGGGGGAGGGCATGAATGGAGGGCAGTAGATTTTGTCTCCAAGAGGACTCCTCTGGCTTCAGCTCTGATGTGTCTGTGGGGCTCGGTACTCGTCGGCTGCTCAGGTTTCCTGTGTACGTGTGGCTCAGGATGGGGAGCGTGGAGCCAGAGGAGGGCACGCAGGAGGCACAAGTGGGGTTCACAGAATCACAGAATCACAGAGTACCGGGTTGGAAGGGACCTCAAGCATCATCTGGTCCAACCTTTCCTGGCAAAAGCACGGTCTAAGCAAGACGGCTCAGCACCTTGTCCAGCTGAATCTTAAAAGTGTCCAATGTTGGGGAATCCATCACTTCCCTGGGGAGATTATTCCAATGGTTCTCATCTTGAAAAATTTTCCTCTTGTGTCCAATTGGAATCTCCCCAGGAGTAACTCGTACCTGTTACCCCTCGTCTTTTCCATGTGACTCCTCGCAAAAAGGGAGTCTCCACCTTCTTTGTAGCTGCCCTTTAAATACTGGAACATAGTGATAAGGTCTACCCTAAGCTTTCTTTTCTCAAGGCTGAACAAACCCTGTTCTCTCAGCCTGTCCCCACACAGCAGGCTTCCCAGGCCTTTGGTCACCTTCACGGGCCTCCTCTGGACCCTCCCCAGCCTGTCCACATCTTTTTTTGTATAGGCTTGGAGGACTGTTGCACCTGAAAAGTTCAAGCACGTAGAAATCCCTGGATCTCCTGCCCCGGACGCAGCGCTGCCAGGGGATGAGGCTCCACCTTGCCCAGCTCCTTCCTCGCCGGCAAGCTCCTCGGGTTGCTGGTGGACCAGCAATGGGTCGCCTCCACATCCAGGAGGTCCTGCTGGCATTTGGGAGGTGACCCATGCCTCATTACCTCTGCTAGGATCCGGCATGTGACCCGGCGCAGCCTCCGGCGAACAGAGCACTTTGTTCTGACCCTTTGCACATCCCCGCTGGGGAGCTGCCCTCTAATCCCCCCCCAAGGAGGGATTTTCCTCTCCCACCCCAG